GCTATAAGAAATCATTTTAATGCCATCAACAGGTACCCATGACTCAGAAAACACAGAAAAATCCTTCATCATCTTTACCGTCGACAGGCTGCAGCCACTTTTGTTCCAATTTGCATTTTTCACTTTTCTCCACCTCAAGCTTCTTTTCTGAACATACGGCTTTACAATCAATCAGAAGCACTTCCATGCAAAAATATCAAATTGTTTTTATAAACTTTTTTTGTTTTTAAATAAAGCATTTTAAATGCCACATAATAAAATCACATTTAATGAATTTTATAGTCAATTAACCTCTTAACATCCACATTTTGGGAAATTCTCGCCTATTTTTCATACCCAAATGAAAAAGCAAATAACTTAGGAACTGTAACCCCAAATTACACGTGTGATCCATTATTTTAAAGCTAATACCATCTAGTGTCTAAAATTGGGTGAGTAGAACAAAGCCCAAGCTGCATCAGTTCAAACAGGACTCAAAGTTGTTTCTTTATCCTTGAAAATAATCTTTATATTTTGAACATGCTTACTTGTTGTGGCTGCTTTGTCATGTTTACATTTTGACATGCTGCTATATCTGTGTGAATTGTGTTTTGGTGCTTACTGTGATCATAAAATTATCTTGGAGGTTTAATTGTGGAGAATCTAAGCTTTCCAATGATGTCATACATGTCTATATTGGTAAACAATTTACTGGTGTAATTTTCTTGCATCCTGAGTTATTAGATGTAATTTTTCTAATAACTCGTGGGTTTAATTATTTTTATTTATTTTTTATTTCGAACATGCAAGAGAAAAAAAAAATAAAACAATGTTTAAAAGCATTGGAGAGAAAAACAACAAACAAGGTACCCTTCTTTCCTAAATTAATAAACCTCTATTACATGTGCGAAAAGGAGTAGGAAGAAGTAAAACTTATGTACTCCTACCCCTTTAATTCTTGTATTTCTCAATATTTATAATTATGTTGCTATATATATCCATATAAATACCAACCTACACATATACATACATAAATATGTATACAATTATGTTATGTATACAATTAAGGCCTTAATTTAAAGGCACACTATGCAACATTTTTCAGTTAATTAATGTGTT